AAGCACTGCTGTAGACAGTAAAACTGGGAATCACGCAACCCGGGTTCGAATCCCCACTCGGCCCGGGAACTGACAGTGTGTGCTTGCTTTCACAAACCAGAGGTCTCCCGAATGAATGTGTGACAGAATGAAGTTGACAGAAGAGACTCAAAGTGAACCTCAGAATATGGGGATTTCACACCAACTCAGTCTCCTTTGCACTCTCATGCCCCATCTCGGTGGCCCCTCTTGCCCTCACCAGGCACTCTGGAAGGTCTGGTAGAAGGCACCCTCCAAACGCTCCCGATGCTTCCTACGATTGGGCTAAAATTCTCTGAAATACTGATGTCAGCTTTACAATGAATGGCATCCTGCGATTCATAGGGCTATCGTTTAATAAACAAACACAGTGTTGCATCTGATCTCAAAGAATGAAAGAGATCAAACCTGCTATTCAAGTTTTCAGGGGGCTTTGGAGTTTGATTCTTGTCTTTTCGTCTGGAAAAAATTGGGAGAGCATCAGCTGAGTCTCACCCCATCCTAGGGAGAGAAGAAAAAAACAAATCATTCTGAAGGCTTCTTGATTCGACAAAACCAAAATCTTTCTCTTAGGATAGAAGCCTTTGTGTTTTTAACAATCTGGAGAATTCAATTCTTTAAAAAAATACTCTCCTGCTTATGAATGTGCAGGGGCGTGTGTGTGTGCTTCTATACCTATGATTCCAAAAGCCAGGAAATAGCCCAAAACTGCTGCGCAATCTCGTGCCTGGCTTGCCAGCAGGAAAAAGGAGACCAAGCCTGACAGAGCAAAGGGCGGCTGAAGGTTGACCACTATCCAAGGCGGACATCCAGAGGGTCTACAGCAGGGGGTCCCCAATCTTGGGCCTCCAGATGTTCTTGGACTTCTGCTCCCAGAAATCCTGGCCAGCAGAGGCGGTGGTGAAGGCTTCTGGGAGTTGCAGTCCAAGAATATAAGGGGGCCCAAGGTTGGGGACCCCCTGGACTCTGCAGGAGACCCTCTTCTGCTTGTTACCCTTCACAGCCCTGATCATGGCTTTATGTCTGGGGGAGGAGTGGTCACTTGACGAAAGGGGGAGTCAGCTTCCCTCATGTGGTGTCACTCTGGGAACGGCAATGGTGTGTGTGTGTGTGGGACTCCTGTTCAAGCCCCCCCAACCCTCAGCCTGTGGAGTGTTTCAGGTTTCCATTAATATCCCGTATTATTTCACAGAGGCATGAAAAACCGGAAAGAGGCTATGCAGAAGAATGTGGTGGTCCGGCACCCCCCGTGTGATGATGACACGCAACTTCCGTCTGCTTTTTAAGACCTTCCAGGGAGGGCCTTTGCTCAGCCTCTCCAGCCCCCAAGGTCCGGTCGTCCAGCCGACCACCATCCCCTGTGCCAACAGAAACAGTAAGACAAGCAAAGAGGAGGAAAGTAATTTTGAATGAATGAATTCTACGCTAATTAAGAATCTAATGACTGAATATCCTGCCTCTAAAAAAGTCTCTTCTTGGAAGATTCAGATAATTTCCTGATAATATTTTTTTGAACCAAAATCATCAGCAGCAAACCACACACCCACACCCACACCCACACCCACCCTCTTTTCCCAGGGTAGGAAACGGGCAGCCCCTCCCCCCAGGGGCTCTCCTGCCCCCCCATCGCTCTGGGTGGGAAGAGTGGGGTGGGGGGTGTTGAGGGTCTGGGTTCGGGTGAGAGCCTGGTTCGGGTTCCAGGAACTTGCCTCCCTTGCAGGGGCATCAGCACCTGCCTTGGCTGCCACATGGGGCGGCATAGAAATGAAATATCCTCATCATCATCCACATCCTCTGCATCCTCCTCCAGGATAAGGTCGTGGATTACCTGGGCCTTATTGGATGCAGACCTGGCATTCAACAACACCAGGCGTAGAGTGGAAGGATGACTGAACTGGCTGCCTCGATACTGAGGGTTGGTCTCAGTCACAGAACAATGGACAGCCTTCAAACATCTGTCCATCGTTCTTCTTACATGAGTGGAAACTGAGCCAACGCCATACCTTCCTCTACCCGTGACCACAGAAATATTTTGGGGCCCCTCGCTGGGAAGGCAGGCCTTCCATTCCATATCCAAAAAGGGGGAGGGAGGGAGGGAGGGAGAGGAAGGCAGGAAGGTAGGGGGGAAAAG